AAGCTTTCGATTAGCAAACGGTTCTTTTTGCATACGGGAAAAGTATGTTGTTTTCACTTTCTTCCTACAAACACTCTTTATTTTGATACTTTTGTTGCTGTTTTTTGCCGCGTTGTTTATTTATTTAACTTTGCGCAGATACCGTTTGTTTATCCACTTTGCCCACCTGTTAAAGCCTACATTTCCTGATAGTGCTTTTCAGTGATTTCGCCATATAAATGTAGGAAAAGAGTGGAAAAATAATAAATGGTAACACTGTGTTGTTAATCTGACAGTAACCTCACTCAGATACTCCCAGTAAACACCTCTATCCATCATTGTTGTGCGCAAAGTCTCACTTTTGATTGTCTCGGAGCTTTTTTTTTTCTTTGAGTCTAAATTTTTGTGTATTTTTGAAGCCCGTATGGGCACTTTTTGGACTTTTTTTCGTAAAAATCCAGCATTTTGCTTTCGCTTTCTGTAGCTTTAGTCGATTTTACTATCTTTTCTTATAGGTAAATACTAAAATATACTTGCCGGTAACGTATGTTGAAGAATTGAAGACAAAAAAGTCAAATGTAAAGCAAGCACATGGCGTCGCTTTAGAAGCGCGGAGTATGACGATTGAATCAGAAGACATATCTAGTGTTCAGAGTGCTTCGATAAATTCATTGAGCCGCGAAAGGTACTGCTTATCGCTTATTTTTATTAAATAGTGTGAAGCAAAGAATTTTCAGGAACCAAGATTTCTCTGGGGTTTGGGTTTGACGGGGTAGTGCGGAGGAGGGGGAGGGAGGTTAAGTAGGAGGAAGGCAGCTTCCAGCGCTTAATTTATGTAGGTTTTCGAACAATGAAAATGGAGGTTTATTTTCGAACAGTCAGCTGATCCAGTCCCAGAATTGAATTTCCTTATTCTCTATCTGTTGTGGATTTTGTGATCTCTGCTTTCAAGTTCAATCGATGCCAGAGTTGTTGTTGCTATCGTTTTCAAACATTTGCGAGTCTGAGAATGCGCTTCAAGCTCAGTATTTAAGTAAGCATGGGTTTCCCGAAGAGTCTGAAGGCTGAAAAGGGCAGAGGTAGTTCGCATCTCAACAGAAACAACTCATGTTTTCATAGTTACACCAGGCAGTTGTTGGTATCTGCTGCATAAGTTGTCCGAAAATGAAAGTATAAATTATTAAGCATGGGTAGCACGAAACCAGATGTTCGTGTGATCGATCCAGTCCAAATGCTGGGAAAGGAGAAAGGTGGGAAAAGCGCTAGCCAACGGTCAGCTGCTGCAGACAGTCATGAAGAAGCACCACCTCCTGTGGTATGGTATTTGTCTTTTTCAGCACAGGAATATGGACATTCTATTACAAAAAATTACTTTGAAAACATTTTCGATCCCAGTGATGTTTAAATTTCGAATCATTTTAATATCACTGCTTTAAGAAAGATAGGATGAAGCATGCTGTGAAGGAAGAAGCGCGCAAAAATGCAAACACTGAGCAAAAAGCAGTTGGTCTTGAAGATGAAAAATTGCAGGCAAAAACACGCAGAGGCGGGCAAACCAAACGTAAAATATCTACACGTGAAAACGCAGAACCGAAGCCGACTGCGGCTGCACGTGAAGAAGCATCGGAAATGAAGCGGAGTACTGTTGCACGTGAAGTGAACGGAACCGGGCGGCGTGCAGGCCTACGTGGGAATGCAAAAACAAGCCAGGCTTCACGCGGTGATGCAGAAGCCAATCTGCCAGGGAATGCACGTGAAGGTGCAGAAATCAGACCGGAATTGCGTGACGACCCGGAAGCGGAATTGCATGCAAACGTCAAACAACAAGCTGAAACACAAGAAAACAAACCTCTTAAGCAGAAAGATGAGGTATTTTTTTTTCTTGAAATAATATACTTTCAATGGTCTCAGCCGTAGATTACTGCACTCCTGCTGTGTAAACTAGTTTTAGTAACTTGCGATCAGGTTCATGAACTTTTCCACTTTTTATTTCAATGACTCTATTATGCTTGGAATTGAAACTGCGTTTGAAACAGCGGACTGCCGGCATTCTTCCCATAAGTTTGTGCAATCGGGGCCGATGAATATGCACGCATGCCTTTTTGCTTATGTTAATATATATGTTTTTTTTTTGTATGCACTTGTATGCAAGTATGTATCGGTTATGTACGCGTGTTTGTACTTATGTACATACGTGTATGTATGCGGATGCCTGTTTGAAGGGTAATTCGGAAATACGGAAATATTGCTGCGGGTAACTTTTATTAACACATTATTATGCGTTCTGTGCTGTGTAACCACAGTACAAAACGCATATTGTCACGGGGTTGTCTGTATGTGTGTGTGTGTGTGTGTGTGTCCCCGCAGCAACTTGTCCGCAACTTTCAACTCGGGAACCACGAAAGCTAGGAAGCTGAAAATTTAGGG